CAAACTCATACCCACCCAAAAGCTCATGATGTCATTATATTTGGAAACAGTCTTTGCAGATATAACTAATTAAAGATTAAGATGAAGTCATAATGGATTAGGGTGGGCCCTAAATCTAAGAACTGGTGTATTTTAAGAAAAGAGGAAGGAGATATACACAGAAACAGAGACACACAAATGGGAAAAGGTCTTGTGGAGACAGAGATAAAGATCACAGAGATGCAGCTACAAGCCACAGAATGTCAGGAAGTGCTGAAAGCCACTAGAAGCTAGGAAAAGGCAAGGAAGGGTTCTTCCCTAGTTCCTGCAGGAGGGAGTGTGTCACTACTGGTAACTGGGTTTTTGAGGTTTAACTTCCAGAACTTTGTAGGGAAGCGGCCCCCCTTCCCCTACTTGTTCTACAAGGACAGCTGTCTGCTGCTTCACCCCAGATATGCCTGGCCTTGACAAACCTGAAAACACAGCGTGTTGTACCCATGGGAAAGGAGCCAGATAAGGGCCTTGAAGGCCAGACACCTGCCCATGAAGGCCACACGCATGCACGTCTTCAAATACTTCTGTAACCACGAATTAGCACGATAGCAGTTTGAGAAGTACAGCTTGATGCAGAATAAAGCAGCCTCCTTGAGCACCCTACACTCCATGACGACTCCCGCTGCCTTCTTTGCTCTTCGTTTTCCCCCAAAACCTCAAAGGCAATCCCCGGACCCCGACAAACTGTGAGAGAATCAATTTCTGCTGTTTTAGGCGGCAAGTCTGTGGTACTTTGTTATGGCAGCCACTGGACACTAATATATTCTCTTTACAGACAATCCGTAGAATGTAAGGAGTGAACGATTGAAAGGAAATAGGGGTGGGAGAAAGGGAAGGAATGCTAATTCCAAAAGTTAATATTCCATGTGAAGTGAATTCAGGTATTGTTACCAATTGCGGGTAATTTCTTCTGAATTACAGATTAGAGAAACCCTCCAGTTTTTTTTTTTTGTTGTTTGTTTGTTTAATCCCATCTCTTTAAACTGTTTTAAGTATCTTGCTTCACCAATAGGTTCAGTGAAAATGTTTAACCTTGCACTGTATACTGTGTCTTTCTTTTGGAGTTTAAAATAAAAATACCATTATTTTCTGTTCCAAGAGAATACAGACAAAACAAACACTGGCCTCTGACTTGGACCCAAGTGTTGGCTGCCATCCTAGCCCTTTCTGTTTTTCTCAGCCAGGACTGTTAAAACAGAAGTCCACAACACGTATTCCCCAGTTTTACTAGTCCCCCTCCTTGTAATTTGATTTGGGTCTCTACACTATAATATGTAATAAATACAGATTAACAAAAATATTTTCCCTTTAACCATGTCAACAGTTCTCTTACATTCTAAAGCATTTTATCTATACCAAATTCAAAATAAAATAAAATCTGTCTTCCATGTGTTTTGGCACTTAAAAATAATATAAGAAAACTTACACAGCCAACCCATTAGGGGAAACTATTGGTAATTAAAAATTGAAAGATGAAGTAAAATTCAAACAGATTTTGTTATTATAGTAATAAATTATTTTAAATCCAATAATCCAAGTGAAATAGTTTAGCTGTACAGAAGAAAGCAAGCAAAATATCAGTAAAAGCTATGTAACTGATCCAGAATTGTTATTTTTCTAAGCATACAAAATAAGTAGAACCTTGCAGAATGAATATTGACAAAGTGACCTTAATATACAAAATTCAAATGAAATCTAATGATGCTCATGAAAGAATTAGGAATTGACAATTCTCTTATCTGTAAAACTGAAAGATAGGAATTGACTGGCAACTGAAATTGTATCTACTCAATAACCAGTGAAGTACAGTCACATTATATACACATTTAATTTGCATGAATTCAATTCTACAGTGTATGAAAATAAGTAAATGAAAGTTAATTGGTATTATATGATCAAATGAATTAAAACAAAAACTAACAAAAACAAACTAGTCCATTTAACATTATCTGGAAAAAAACTGTTACATGTTTTGACACTGGAGGAAAAAATCCTATTAGAATTATTCAGAGACAATATGGCTTATACAAAACCTTGTAGATGAACCTATATGGGTGATTTAATTTATTTCACAGTTAGTCTTGGTCGTGTGTTATGTGATTTTCTCTATAAGTAAGGACTTTAGAACTTTAACCCCTGTAAGAAAATGCATCCCCAATGAATATACTGAGTGTATTTGGCAGACTTTATGTCAAATGATTAAAAATTAAAATCCTAGAGTGTCAATATGTAAAAGATATAAAAGAGGGAATGATTACAATTTGAGAAAAATAACAGGAAGAGAAAAAAGTGAGAAGTGAAGTGTTATTAAATAATACAAAAATGTCATAAAAGATAACTCAAACGGCAATGGAAAGGAATTAAGGCAAAGTGAGAGTGCGAGGAAGCAAAATATGAATTTGATTTGTAGATACGCAATGGCTTGCTTGTTCATCTCACATTTAAGGAATAGGGTATGGATAGGAGAAAGTCTACGATCAGCATTAATTTAATTCCTTTACATTGCTTCAAGAACATTTCAAGGGATCATTAAGTGATTGGATATCCACTAGAGACGTGAAGCACACAGGATTTGTTTTCATGCTTTACTTACATACTATAAATATTTTATTTTTAGCTTTGCTACTCTTAAGACCCCAGTCTGATACAGTATTCCAGGTCATTTTATTTCACCCTTTTTTTGGGTGAATGGAGCATATAAATGGGAGTGTAAAGAAAAGTGTATGTGTATATACAGACCTCTGTGTAAGCATCACTTACTATGTGTTATTATGCCAATCACTCACATGTATTATATTATTTAATTATAAAATAACCCCATGGGGTAAACATTTATCACATCAATTCAGAGATGAGAGAAGTAAGTTTTAGAACAATGATGTGTCTTGTCCAATGAAAAAGACCAAACTGAGTTGTACTCTGAACCCAGAAATCTGACTCCATAGTTGTCATTCTTTTTTTTTTTTCCTCACAGTTGGCATTCTTAAACTCAGTGGTACTGAGCATGAACTATGTTAGATACTTTATATATACAACCTCATTTACTCCTCCTAGTGACTATACTTGTTTATCTCCATTTTACAAATAAAGAAACTGAATCTCAAAGAGAATATGTAAATTAACCAAAGACAGATAGCACAGATGTGACAGGCTGAAATTGGTATCCAAGTTTGTTTAACCTCATATATAGTTTGAAATAAAGAATATGCAATGCTTACAAAAATATAATCAGTTTCCTTACAAATATATCTAACTACAGTTGATTTTGCCCACAAATAATCCATGACTTGTTAAAAAAAGTTAGTGTTAAAAATTGCTGATTATTTTTTGCATTATTTTTTACATTAAGAGGATTAAATTTAATTTATATTAATCCTGGTAGAATAGAGATTCTATTCTTTAGTAATCTTCTAATTTACTTTTATTTTATTCAGTGTTCTCTCTTTCACTCTTTGAACATACATAACTACCAAAAAATGTCTCTAGGTGACTAGTTAGCATGTCTGTGTGTCAGGAAAGGAAATGCCTGATTTTCCTTTCACATTCTTTTGGCCACATGGCATCCCAAGAACAGAGTTTAAAATAACACATTATTGGCTTAGAGTAGACCTGCAGAGCCATGCAGCCTTCGGGACCATCATCGCTAGGACTCTGTCAGCAGCCATATAACATTTTTTGGCAGCTGCGGACCATAAACCCCTTTGGCAAAGGAAGGACCCTCTTGGGCACAAAAGGCAAACAATAATAATAGTAAACACAAGTAGATGATGTTTTTCTTTCTTAACTGTCTTTTTCTTCATAATCGAAGACCTCAACTCATTTAACTGATCAATATGCTAAGAAGAAATATTTTGTGGAGCAAAGAGACACCTTGCTAAGCTGGCATCATAACTATTTCACGGTTAAAATAAAAGGTTTAGTTAGTACTTCACTTCTGATGACAATGTTCTCTCAGATAAGTGGAGGATCTTGAACTTGTTTCAGAAGAGAGAAAAGGAGGGTATATAGGTAATATCTGGCTATAAGAAATTGGACTGGAAACATCAGCTTATTTTATATATTAGCAGAAATGTCAAGATGCAATTCAAAATCATGATTTGATAAAGTCCATATTCTTCTGCTAAAATACTTAGTCATCCAGACCCAGACACTTCTTACAGACCTTCCAAATCCTTTACCATGTAACACAATGCTATAAATCAAAATTCTAGAAGTCTGAACTTTCAGCCTCTTTTCCGTACTTTAATGCCCACTACATTACTTTGCCTATCCATCCAGAAACAGGTCTTAACTTGGGTTAGATCCAGCTGGATCTCAGATCCAAAACCTTTGGAAACCAGGAAAGTGACTTCTAAGACTTGTGATGAGGGAGATGTGAAGGCAGCAAAGGACACATTGTTTTTTCGGTGCCAGGGCAGAACAGATTGTCAGGTTGACAAGATGAGCTGAAATGTCCTTTGCTGTCTTTTTTATATTCATTGCATCCTAGAAACTAGGTTTTTAAAACCGAAATATTTTCTTTCTGGAAATGTGTTAATAAACCATAAAACAAATATGATTGTTTGTACATACTTTTACCATTATTGTAATAGTTCTTTATTTGGATTTATGAATATTTTGTAGAGCAGACTTCACTTTATGCTCTGGTAATTTCCCATTTTATGTAATTCCAATATGAAGGCACTTGCAAGGTTACTGGATGTACTTATTTTTAAAAATTAAAAACAATCCTGTTTTCATTTTTATATTGTTGTTCACCTGTGTACTTGACTGTAAATTCAAATTGAGAAAAATAACCTCAAAATTTTATTGCTACAAAGCTAGTATCTTAAAAGAATTGCAGAATGAAGGACTTTATGAATAGTTAGTGCATTCACTTAAAAAACTAACATTTTTGAATAGCATTTAGTAGGAAAAAAAAGGATGTCTGGAATGAAATACTACATGATAAGCTGAATCTTACTTACCAAACTCCTTGGGAACTGCTATAGAATAAACGCAATTATGTCCCACACTGTAATTTTTTGGATAATTTGGTGACAGAACAGTGCCTTCTGAACCTGTTGAATGACTTCCACAGGGTGCTAGGAAATAAAAATGATAAAAACATTGTATTTAGAAAAAAACTGAAATCCATACTACTTTCTTGATATAAAACATGGTTACTGAATATTAAGAAATATCACTTATTTCCATCTTTTAACAAGATTTCACTGTCACATATGTCAACAATAAAAATTTGCACATACAAAACATTTTTAGTGTTCAGACTTACTTTTTTCAGAAACAAATACAATAATATTGAATGGTGCTATTTCTAGAGGTAATAATGGTGACCCTACTTTCCTTTATGATAAAAGTATAAAGATAATCATTCCTTTTATAATGATGAGAAAGTATGCAAGTGAAAAATTGTTTTACTCACTGCCAAGCTTTGGAATTTTACTCAGAATCAACTCTGATTATGCTGCCACCAAATTAACTATTTCCATACATGGAACAGGGATGGCTGTACATTCACCCACTCATCTAAGTAAAATATTCTCTCACCAACCTTTATCTGCTTATATGATTCACATTTAAATCAGGAGTTTCTGATGGTGCAGAGAAGTAGACGTTTTTTATGCCTCAGCCCCAAATGTGCTATGTTCCTAAAAAATGTGGGTGAAGATAGTGTTTCTGGAGAATGTATAGATGATGTTTCTGTTGTTGATAAGATAGAGGAACACATTAAGATTGAGCGTTCTGGGCTATGAGAGGGACCTGGGGTACTAATGGAGAGATTTAGGTAGTGAAAACATAAAGATGCTAGTTGGTATTCTTTAAGTGAATGAGATCACCCGGAAAAGTATGTAGAATGAGAAAAGACAGCATTGGAGCAGGTCTATGGAATTGCAAGGGTGAAGAGTTTCAGTTAAAAGAAAGTGTTCAAAGGGTTAAGTTGTTATAAAGAACTAGTGAATGAAAAAGGAGTCTGAGTGGATTGGGCAGTGTGGAGTGCCAGGGAGCCGGGGGCACTTCTCTCGGCCCACGGCTTCCTTGAAGAGGGAACCGGCCTGGCCGGCTGCTGGCTCTGTTTCTTACCTCCAGGGGGAGGAATGAGCTTCCTGATTGGTGGAACTTCCTGTTGAGAGCCACCCTCCCTGCAGAGCACACTTGTGGTCTCAACAGTGTAAATATTTCAGGGCAAGTCTGTTAAAGGTGTGGCTACGGCTGTTGTGAGACACCTGTAGCTGCATGGGAAGCCCGTTGTTACTGCTTCTCAGTTTTTATAAATATTAAAACTATTGGTTTGATTTCTCTCTGCCTTTCTCTTAATTGGCCTTGAACTTGTACAGAGAGGATTCCCCTCAAGCATAAAAAGGGAATTTCTGGCATTATTAATACAGTAGTTTCAATCAGTGCAGGTTTCTGCAAATTTCATCGAGCAAGCCAAATGCAGCCCACTCCAAGAGAGGTTTTTACATTTTTAAAGAGTTCAAAACAAAACAAAAACTAAACAGAAATATGCAACACAGACATATGCGGCCAGCAAAGCCCAAAATACCACTGGGCCCTTTACAAAAGAAGTTTGTTAATCCTTGGACTGGAGTAGAGAGGTAGTAGTTATCAAAGCCCAAAATACCACTGGGCCCTTTACAAAAGAAGTTTGTTAATCCTTGGACTGGAGTAGAGAGGTAGTAGTTATAGTTGTATGAAACATAAATGATATATAAAGAAAGACAAGCATAATGAGAATCCTAACTGTAAGCAGGAGAACACAGGGAATAGTTGCAGGGGAGATGCAAGTCTGGATAAGTGATTGTTATATTTTGTTTAAAAGGGAGGAAGGGGTCATTGCAAAGGGAACATCTGGAGTGCTTTTTGCAAAGGGAACATCTGGAGCACTGACCTAGAAGCTCAAAAAAGGTAAGTTCAGAAACAAAAGTGGACTGATTAGCATTAGAGAGCATTAGTGACAGTCCTCTGAGTCCTGAGAAATGGGTTGAAGATGACTAAAAATACATAATGCCAGATTTTCCCTTAAAAGAGAGTTGGATGCAGTGGTGTGTTAGGTGTTTGAGAAGAGTCATATGACAATTTGAAACAGTAAAAACTTTTGATGGATTAAATATATCTAACAATATATTTAAAACACACACATATAACACAAACAGTACGTTGTATTTGAGTTGGGTGGATAATGAATGTTCTGCATTTTTTTCTTTTAATGCTCCATAACATGGTAATAAATAATTAGAATCAAACATACTAAAATTAGAACTCCCCAGAACAACAAATTGACAGTAATGATAATAACCGAAAATGCATCGCTCTCATTATACTTTATTGTTTGAGATTAGAGTAGTCACGTGTTCTCATTCCAGCACTGATAACTTTATTCAATTGGTGATACTCCTGATGAGAGAATCATTCAAGAATGAGCAGTATGTTTTATGTTCACTTTCCTTCTGATTGTAAGGCACTCCAAAATTACAATACTCTGAACGTATGTTGCAAAATAACTTACTTTTGTATTTGTAAAGTACGAACAGAAATTATAGCTTCTACTTAGGTTCAGCTTTGTGCCTTGGTCATGAACACTCTGACATTCCTCATTAATATGCATCTGTCAACCTAAATTTGTTTTGTATATTTTATCTTGAGTAATGGACAATAGGGCAGCTTTTGTAGAAGATTTCAGTTGTAAGTTTGAAAATATGAAGGCATTTTTTTAACTACTGATGAATATATACAATCATGTATCTTTAACAAATTTTTTATTAAGGTATTATTGATAGATACTCTTATGAAAGTTTCATATGAAAAAACAATGTGGTTACTACATTTACCCATATTATCAAGTCCCTACCCCCATACCCCATTGCAGTCGCTGTCTCACATATCTTTATGGTGATTAATACTGTATAAGGTTTTGTTATTTGTACAGGTAGTAATAATTTTACATTTCTTCTGGTCAGTGCTTTCAACATGTCCTAATTTATAGTCACTTATGATGAATACTGTACTTTCTGGCAATGTTATATGCTGTGTGTAAATAATATAAACAAGGGAAAATTAACTATGCTGTGAAATACAGACTTATTGTAATCTATTTTATGCTAATAAAAATCTAAATGGAATAAAGACCAAGCCAGGCCAACTTTACTAATTCTAATATTGGTTCCTAGGAGCCTTTCTTCTCTTCCTGTTTGAATTTTATCATATTGGTTAGTACAGAAAAGAGAAGTCTTTACTTTTCTGGCTCTGTTAGCAATCAGTAGAAGACAAAGCAAGCCAGGACTGAATTCTATGCTTGTTTTTGCCATTTGACTTATACCTGCTGGTCTTTTGTCAAACTGACTGTTTCTCTAAAGAGCCTATATCCATTATAATGCAGTAAATGTAAGAAACTCACCTGTTCCTGATTATAATTTATGGGCTATGTATGACTACCTCTTGAATCAGCATTTTAATAGCATTCTTGTAGAACACATGAATTATGGAAGAAATGGTTCAATGATTGAGTAAGTTTGAAAATACATGGGAATAAGAAACAGGGTTCTTTACTCTAGGACTTCATTAAAAACTTCAGTAAGATTTGGGAAATGTTACGCTCTTTTTTACAAATGCATTTGATCATGGAGACTCTGTTACATCTCTGTTTTATTTTTATTTTATTATCAGCCTTTCTTTTTCCTCTTGGTCACTGTAACTGCCACAATCCAGACTCCGAAAAGTTTCCACATGGGCTCTTCCAATAGACAATCGACTGCTCTCATCCCCATCAGTTTTTATCACTGCTAGCGATTTTTCTAACACACATGTCTTACCATGTTTTCCTTCCTTTCCTAGAACAATTCTGATAAGTGGTAGATTTTATATAGATGTCTGTTGGATGATTAAATGAACCATGCTTGCAAAACCAGGCAGGCTACCATCAAATGGTGTTCCACAATCAACACATAACACAAACATCTTATTTGGTTCACAATTAATAAAAGGAAACCTCATATAAAAATGCTGTCAGGAGGCTAGAAGGCAGAGCTCTCCCATCACACTACTCATCAGTTGCAGACTGCAACAGGAAGAGCTATACCTTGCATTTCCAACAGGAAGAAGCCTATATTCTACTATTTACTAACTCCAGTAGGAGGAAGAAAGATTTTCTCCTGGCCCCACAACATCCCAGCCAATGAAAGACTGTCAAAACTCATGCAATGAAAAGCTACTACACTTTGAACTCCCAGTTTACTCCAACAGAATTTTTTTTTTAAACAGTCCCTCTCCAATTCCCCCTTTTCCTCTATAAAAGAGTGTTCCTCACCTTTGTTCTCCAGACTTGCCTGTAGCTTTGCCATAGTTTGCATGTCTCCAACTGCAATTCTCTGCTACTCCTGAATAAACCCATTTTTTGCTGGTAAAACAACTAGCAATTTTATTTTTAAGGTTAAGAATTAATTTTATTTTTAAGTTGAAATTACCCCCAGAAATTCAATTAAAGCCAAAATATAATCAAGACATACATAAGTCTACATAAGCCTTTTTTTTTCTGTAATTGAAATCTTCACTGTTTCTTGAATTACCAGAAATCCCTGTTGCTTTACATTTAGAAATAAATTATGTGAAAGATATGTATCTTTAAACATTATAAATATGTTCAGTGATAAGACTTTCACAGTACAACAGCCACATAGATACTGAGTTCCACTGAAGGAATAGCAAAATTGTGTCTAGCATTTCACAGTAGCAAATCCATGTTAACATTTGTCAGTCTGGAGCATATTCTCATTGAGTGAGTAAAATCACTCACATGGTTTAACTTGCATAAGTAAAATGTGTCTGTGCTGTGACTATACTGCATGGATTTGTTTTATTCCTGAACTGTGAAGCAGTGATAACATAAAGAGATGTGGTATTTCCAGGAAAATCAGAAGATGAGTCTGCAACTGGGTTTTAAGTTCTAGTCATCCAAATTAAAGAACTTCCCACCTATGGAGGGAAGAAGAAGAAGGAGAGTAAGAGGTACTTTCGTGGTGAGAGAAACAGAAAACTCAAACCATTTATGTGGAAGAGGTACTACGTGAATGTCCAAATATCTTAG